AAAAAAAAAAAAAAAAAAAAAAAAAAAAAAAAAAAAAAAAAAAAAAAAAAAAAAAAAAAAAAGTACACATGTAATTGGATAAGATTTGATAAATAAATAATTAATTAATTTAAGAAAAATAGTAAAATTTGAAGCTTTTGCATCTGTCTCTACAAAAGGGTTCTGTTCTAATTTTCCCTCCACTGCCGGAGCAAAATAAAACATTCTTAAGAAGGAAGATCAGACGGTGATGGAACTGCCACCTGGATTTCGATTCCACCCGACCGACGAAGAATTGATCACACACTATCTTTCCCCGAAGGTCCTCTCCGCCTCTTTCTCGTCTCCGGCCATCGGCGAAGTGGATCTGAACAAGTGCGAGCCATGGGATTTGCCTGGTAATTCCTAACTATTTGGCTATGTGTTCAAATGGGTGAAATTTCCGATTTTGAAATTTGGGTTTTGTTGCTTACAGGGAGAGCTAAAATGGGTGAGAAAGAATGGTACTTTTTCTGCGTGATTGATAGGAAGTACCCACGGGGGTTAAGGACGAACAGAGCCACACAGGCAGGGTATTGGAAGGCCACTGGTAAAGACAGAGAGATTTTCAAAGGGCGAACGCTCGTGGGTATGAAGAAGACTCTGGTTTTCTACAAAGGCAGAGCCCCTCGTGGTCATAACTCCAATTGGGTCATGCATGAGTACAGATTACACTCCAAATCCTCTGTTTATTCTCTCCTTCCTGCAAATTCTTCACAGGTTCATCAAAATTATAGCTTTTTGTTTCCTTTTTTGTTGCTGTTTGTGATAGATATGGTGTTTGGGTTGGTGGGTGCAGAAGGAATGGGTGATATGCAGAGTGTTCAACAAGAGTGGGAGCTCTGTGGGGAAGGCGGAGATGGCGGTAAGCTGTTCATCCTCTGTTCTTCCGCCGTTAACAGAGTCGGATGCATCGCAGGTGACCTGCTTCTCCAATTCAATGGAGGAGGATCAGAACGAGGAGGGTGAGTTTTGGGTGGGGCTTTTGGAGGAGCCCCAAAATGAAGGGCGGTTTTGGAGGTTGGAGGTCACTTCTTCTGCTAAAGACTTCGCCTTTGGGACCAACCACGTCTCTTATCCATCGCCTCCTGATGATGCCCTTGATTCCCTTTGGAATTACTGATATAATCCTCTTACCATTATTGTATCTAAGTTGTGTTTGTATGATATTTAGATTTAGCTTTCATCGCTTGAAATGTTTTGTGTTGAAATGTTTTGTGTAATAGTCGTTTTGTGTTTTAACGTTTTCTAAGTCTATTATGACATGATTTAGCTGAATTCAGTTGTTACGAGAGATCGTTAACTTTTGGAATGGAAAATATACGTTTTTTTTATAAGTAATGTTTGATGACTAAAAAATTAATTGAAACAATACACATCTCTTCTCTCATCGATATGAATCCACTCCTTCGAGGCCTACCATTTTCGTTGGTACACCAATATCACTATAACAGTCAAATATATCGTCATTAGTTTCATTGGAACACTTGTCATTAAAAAAGTAAAATAATTTATTCTGTTATAGAAGGGAGTGAGTCAGGTCACCAACCTAGAGATAATAGTGATCAACGGTACCAAACAAAATGGACCATGACATGCGATACATGTGTTTTATTATTTTAAGTCTAAAAAATTATTTAATGAAAGAGACTAGAAGTTGTGAAATTTAGGAATGTTTCCTCTTTAAATAAATAGGGTCGAGGTCGGGATTATATTTTCCGTCTCCTGTTCTATTTAATTCTTCCTCGACTATATTAAAAAAATAAATGAGTTAACTTTCAAATTTTAATTATGATTTTTAAATTAAAAATTATGTTATAAGTTTTATTTAATGGTAAAAAAAAAACGTTGTAATATTAAAATTATTGGAGAAACTAATAATTTATTATGATTTTTTTAATAAAGATTAATGGAAAAATAAAAGCTTTAAAATAATTAATTTTTTTTAAAAAAATATGTTTGATTATCAGGGACTTGAAAAGACTAATGTAGTCATATACAAATGGGAAAGTTTAGGGCGATTTTCGTAATTTGGCAAAAGAAGTGATACCGAAGCTCATCTCTAAAACTTGTTTGGGCGGCGTAACCGAGCTACGAGCAGGCGAACTGGTGGCTCTCTAACTCCGGTGGATTCAAACCCTCACGGCAGCAGATCTTCCAGTGGCATGTGACCTACGAACAGCTCGTGACACCCCCCAAGGCGCAACGACTCCCAGTTTATCTTCTCTGGCATACGAGCGACGGCGGCGCTAGGTAACCTACGCAAATAGATCAACGACGGGAGAGCTAGATAATGCATCTGTTATTCTGATTTTATATTTTCATTTGAACAGAAGAAAAATCGTTTTAAAGAAGACTCAAGGTTGTCTCTGGATTTTACTATGACAAAGACTTTGGCCCTTCCGTTCCAAGTACATATATGCGTTTATTATATTACAATCCATTCTATTTATGTTCAATTGGTACTCGGTACTTCGTTTTGTTACCACCATTTGTTCTTCAATCAACATTAATGATATCTTGTTCGAGCGTTATAGGATGTAATTTGAACATCATCATGTGGTGTTAAATTTTTATAGTTCCCCTAATCTGCTAAGAAATATATCAGTAACAATGAACTAAACTTGATTAAATTCAAATCTTTGCTTTCCATTCACTGATTGATACATTCTTTATGGTAGCCACTGAAATCACCTGTGCAAAAGTTTGAAGGGCTCAAGTTCATTAGGCGTCAGGGGCCAAAAATGCAGCTCACACTTACTCAGCCTGATGATTGGCATCTTCATCTTCGTGATGGCGATCTTTTAAAAGCTGTTCTTCCTCACAGGTAAATTGTATCATGTCTATTCTAAATGATTCTATTTTTAACGTTCATTCATGGCTTTGATATTGTGAGATCCCACGTCGGTTGAGGTGGAGAACGAAACACCCTTTATAAGTTAAAAACGTTGAGAGGAATCCCAAAAGGGATAGCCCATAGAAGATAATATCTGCAAGGGGTGGGTTTGGGCTGTTAGGATACCATATTAAATAAACGAGTTTTCTTCTAAAGCTAATTGATAATAAGAAGATTAACTCATATATCTGATATAAGATTATGATTTTCTTCATCTTTCCTATGTGGGATCTTTTAACATTTTCAGATCATTCTTGTACTGAACTATTAATGTGCAGTGCAAGTAACTTTGGAAGGGCTATTGTGATGCCAAATTTGAAGCCACCCATCACAACCACAGCTGCTGCTGTGGCTTATCGAGATTCTATCTTGGAAGCATTACCGTCCAATAGCAACTTCACTCCTCTTATGACCCTTTATTTGACAGATACAATGAACCCCAACGAGATCAAGCTTGCCAGTAAGTCTTAGCTTCCAACATTAATTCTTGGAAGATATTTTCCATTGAACTTCATATTTAGTGATTCTCTGTGGTTATATTCTATTTTTTAAATATGATGATGCATTGGTAGGAAGAAGTGGGGCTGTTTATGCTGTAAAATTGTATCCTGCTGGTGCTACAACCAATTCCCAAGACGGTGTAACAGATCTTTTCGGAAAGTGTCTGCCCGTCCTTGAGGAGATGGTTGAACAGGATATGCCTTTGTTGGTACCTTTGCTGATAGAACACTTTCTTTCTCCTATATATAGAGAATCAGTCGTTGGGTTTTCCTTTTAATTTAGAAAGAAAAATCTTTGTAGGTTCATGGTGAGGTAACAAATCCTGATGTCGACGTGTTTGATCGTGAGAAGGTCTTCATTGAAACTGTGTTGAAACCTCTGATTGAGAGGCTTCCAAAACTGAAGGTGGTGATGGAGCATATCACTACTGCAGATGCTGCTAAGTTTGTTCAGTCGTGCGAAAATGGTATACATATTTTCGTTAGTTATCGCTCTTTCAGTCCGTATCACTTTTCATTATAACGTATGATTAGTAGTTTATGAGTTTTAAAATACTTCACAGGACTTTTAGCAGCAACAGTCACTCCACAACATCTTCTTCTCAACAGGAATTCTCTGTTTCAAGGAGGATTGCAGCCACATAATTACTGTCTTCCAGTACTCAAGAGAGAGACTCACAGTATGTTCCGACTAAATTTTGTGCTGATTCTTTATATTTTGGTCTTCTTGATTGTCTGTGTCAATAGCTTTCGTGAAAAAATAAGCTGTAATGGCCCAGGCCCACCGCTAGCAAATATTGTCCTCTTTCGGCTTTCTCTCAAGGTTCTTAAAACGTGTCTGCTAGGGAAAGGCTTCCACACCCTTATAAAGAGTGTTTCGTTCTCCTCCCCAACCAACGTAGGATATCACATAATCTCCTAACAATTATCAGATATTCCTATTGAAGTGAGAAGCTTTTTGGAGGTTAGAATGGATTATCTCAACAGACGGTGGCTTTTGACTTTTTGTAATTGATCTTAGAATCACCATAGTTGATCTAGTGATCAATAAGAGACAATGTAAATAACGAAAGGCTTTGAGCGAATGGGATCAAGTGATGGTAGCCAAAGATTTAATACCTTATGAGTTTCCTTGGTAATCAACGTAAAAAGGCTGGATAGTTATCTTGCGATGAGGATATTCGAGATGTGTATTAGCTGACCCAGATACTCACGAATATAAATTATTGGCGACTTTTCACTATGAAAATCGAGAATCTCCCCTAAATGAAAGCTCTCGTCCTCTCATATAGGGCAGGCAATCGTGTCAGCTGTGACCAGTGGGAGTAAAAAGTTTTTCCTCGGAACGGACAGCGCTCCACATGATCGACGAAGGAAAGAATGTGCTTGTGGTTGTGCTGGTATATACAGTGCCCCTATTGCCTTATCATTATACGCAAAGGTGTTTGAAGAGGTATACTCTTCATCCTCATATGCTAATAATTTGTTCACGTCTTCATTTTTATCAAATCATCACTCTTTTTGTTCCCTTTTTGTGCCAAGGCGTGTGCTCTTGACAAATTAGAAGCTTTTACAAGTTTCAATGGACCAGACTTCTACGGGCTCCCCAGAAACACCTCAAAAATTACACTGCAAAAAGCTCCATGGAAGGTTCCCGAGTCATTTTCTTTCCCTTTTGGGGACATTGTTCCAATGTTTGCAGGTGAGACACTTGAGTGGCAGCCATGCATGAACTAAGACTAACAAGTCCCACTGTTGCTTACACAATAACACCACTTTCTAGACATGTCCTCCTTCCTCTGATCATCTAGACCCATCTTGATTTCCCATGATATCAACTTTTTTGGATCTTTGATATTGTTGGTTTGCTAATAAAATTCCCAAATTTTGTTTTCGGGACTTCGTTAACTCGCATATGAACGATTTTGTTTTAAGTTTCGTTTGTATTAATGACTTTTTAGTTTAACATGCCAGAGTGTAAAGATTCAAACTTCTGGTATATGAAATAAGGATTTTTTTTTTTTTTTTTGTTGCTTCATCAATTTTTTAAATAAATATTATGTTATTATATCAAATATATTAACAAAATTTTTGTTTTTCTTTTTTCTTTTTAATATAAAAAAATATTATTTGTTTGACCATTTAATATATTTAATATAGATGTGATTTTTTATTTTTTTATTTATTTTTATCATAATTGATTGGAAATTTTAATTTTAAATTTTCATTTATCTACATAGATACTATGCTCGGACTAAAATAGAATACTATGCCCGGAACTAAATCAAAAAATATCTGTAGAATATTTTTTAACATTTAAGAAATCTATTAAATACAAAATTATTTTTAAAAATTATCATGAAAATCGATAATGTTTACATCTAATTTTAAATAATTTTAATTTTTATATGAAAACAAAAAATGAAATTTACTGGAAATGGGTAGGAAATGAACTCAGTCAAAAGACCTATAAGTTCGTACCATTATTTCTTATTTCTATAAAGTTTTATAAATATTAATTTCTCCCTAATTTAATTATTTCTTTTTCGAAGTCAAGTTCAACACACGCTTGCTTCCTCTTTAGCTCATTCCGCCACCGCCACCGCCACCGCCACCGGCTCGCTTCTCTGTTGATCTCTGCAACATTTTCCAACCTTTCCGATCCTCATCGATAACAGGTTTGTTCTCTTGGTTATGTGCAGAGAAAAAGAAGCTTTTTCAGCTTTATCAAATTTAGTTTGCCTTCTTCGTCTATCGACTGCATTCTAAGAGAATAATCGACCTCAACAGCTACACTG